TCAAAATAATTAAACCACTTAAGAAATGTACGGTCATTCTCAGAATGGAATCTGTCAATCCATAAAAGAGCTCGGTTTACATATTTTTTTATTTCATTAGCTTTTACAAATTCCGTGGCTTTTGTTACCGTTTCATAGAAAGATAAGTAAGGAAATTTTTTTAAATGTTTTCTTATATCAATACCGCGAATTCCACTAACAAATTGTTTGGATAATCTTTCATCTGCGTAACGTGTTAAATTACAATTACTATGTATTTTCTCTAAACAATGAACATAACTCATTAAATTTTCTTGTGTATATTGCTCTCGACAAACAAAACGTCTTCTGTGTAAAAACACTGTATTTGTAGGAGAAAAGTAACGAAGATAAATATTTATTATTTCTTGGTATGAAAGTTCAGAGAAGTTGACATCAGAGTATTTCTCTTGGACCCGCTTATGAACATTATTATCCACCATTTCATTAAAGAATGGAATCATTTTATCTTCAGATATAGAATTAAAGGTTATGTACTCAAATTTATTTAACCAATCACAAATATCAAATTCTTTCTCTGATATGAATCTATTAATCGTTGAAGAAGTACAGTGAGTATTATCATTCCTTTCATAAACTTCTTCTAATGTAACGGCCTTTAATACCGTCTCAAAGAATGATAATGTAGGAAATTTACTTAAAAATTTTTTTATTTTAATATTGCAGATTCCTATACGAAATTGTTTGCATAAACTTTCTTTTAATTGTTCTTCATAATTGCATTTATTATATATTTTTTCTAAATTATCAGCATATTTTTCTATTGTTTCTTCCTCATATTGATATCGGCACTGTAAACGTTTTCTATACGAATCATWTTCATTAATTTCAGATAGATGATAAAGATAAAAGTCTGTTAAATCATCGTAAGGTATATCGGTGAGTTTTATATCAGGGGTAATCTCCTCGGCACACATTCCAATATGGACATCATCATCTACCATATTCTTGAATAATTCAACCATCATTTTTTCTGGTACTCTAATAGAATCCGCTACATATTCAAATTTATTTACCCAGTCACAAAAATCACATTTCATTCCTAGATTGTAACAATGAATCCTTTTAAGAACTAGGTCTGTAAAATAGGATAGAATAGTATTTCTTAAAAATTCTATTGCCTGTGTTACCGTTTCATTGAATGATAAACAAGATTTTTGTTTTAAATGATTTCTCATATTATCGTTCTGGAGTCCATTAATGAATCGTTCGCATAAATCTTTTTCGGAATTACTTGGATAATGGCATTGTTTAAATAAATTTCGTAGATTATAAGAATAACCTGCTATTGACTCATTTTCATATTGTATCCGAGAAATAAAACGTCTTCTAGATAACACAATAGAGTAATGTTTTACTGTTTCTTCGTACGAAAGTACAGAGAGCTCAARAATAGGATAAATCTTCTTGACGCATGTGTGGACATCAGTATCCACCATGCAGTTAAAAAATTCAACCATTTTTTCTCGTGGTATACTGATAGTATTTGCTACATAATGAAATCTTTTTAACCATTCAAAAAATTCTTCCCTGTCTTCTAATTTATATACTTGCATCATTGTAAAAGCTCGATTTTGATAACTACATATTAGATTATCTACGTGTAATAGACTCCAATTGTTCATTATTTCGAAATAGAAATTCCTGTTTAATATTTTTTCTAAGTGAACAGATAATTTTTGGAAACTACTTTGTTCGAATTTTTGTTCTCTTTTTGCCAATAACAGCAATACACTTTCCGTAATGTAATTTTGAAATTGTTTTCTTCGATACAATGTAAACGTTGTATATTTAGTATGATATCTTTGATGTTTATATAGAAGTAACTTATTTTTGTGTCGCAATGAATTTTAAAAACTGTTTTAAGAAATTATAAATATAACTGAATTCATCGTTCCGAAATTATTGTAATATCTTAAAGGTTCTATGTATACTAACGACTCACATTGTAAACTTCATTGTTCTGCGATAAGAGAGGAGAGAGAAGATGGTTTACAGCGCCCTACATTTGTCCTTAATAAGAATAATTTTGTATTAAACTATAAGTTTAATATATAAACTGTTTAATATTTATTGTAAATTTAAAAGTTTGTAAAAGATCAAAACATACACGATCCTTCTAACGATATCATAAATTGTTTACATCCAACAAACTAATCCGACGTATTTGCTTGTATATCTTTTATCACAGTTCTTGCTACGAATATTTTAATAGCAATTTGAATTTTACTACTCAAGCAGCAAAGCAATTTAAACAGAATGACGTTGGTAAATATATATTTAAAAAAAAGGTTATTATAATTGAAACATACACAAAATTGTAAATTTAAAAATTCTGGACCCAAGTGCTTTTTATTAATAAGAAAATTGTGAAGAAACATTTCAGCATAATAAAAGTACTCAGCGCTCAAAGGTTTATCTAAATATTTGTTTGAATTTTTTGGTATGAAACTGTACATTTTTAACTACAATACCGTAAATGACTATTTTGGTGTGTTTTGAAAAAAATTACAAGATTTACAAAATATTCTTATTGACTCTATATTTTATTTAAAGTTTTTTATTTCTTTTTTTTTCATGCATTTCCAAAATCATACAAGTGAATTATTGTTTTTTTGCGTCGTACCTTTTTCAAAACTATGCATATCATAATATTATAATAAATAAAATGTGCGAATATAAGCGTGATCGTATAGAAACATAATTTTTTAAATTAAAAGTCGATGCTTGATATCTCATACATACATATAAATAAATAAGCCAATTGAAGTTCCGTTATATTTGTCAACAAAAAATATATTTTCCACAATCAATTATCAAAAAAAAAAAAAAACATTGATCAAAATTTCATTTGATTTATTCCTCTTTTTACTCTAGAATTTTTGGTTTCTTTTTTTCTAAATACCAATTAGTTAGTTCCTATTCATTTTTATTTTTTAAGGGGTCGTAGGACTCATCGAACGACCGATATGTTTAATGGCACCGCTCTTGTAAAATGACAGACAGTTATTAATAAATCATTTACAAAAAAAAAAAAAAGAACAAAGTAACATCTATAATTATATTCTTTACTTTATTATAATTATTTTTATCATTATTATTATTAATATTATTATTATTACATTTTCATTTTCTTTCTCTTTACATTCTCTTTATTTGTTGTTATTGTAGTTGTTGTTGTAGGTATACCTGATGAATTGCTCATTTTATAAATGTAGAAAATATAATAAGTGTTTATTTAGGATAAATAATCGCAACTATATCACTTTCTTTATATCGCGTTGCAACAGTCCTTCTTTTATTAAAAAATTCACGGTTTTCCGTCCAAGATTTCAAAATAGCTACCTTCACATGATTCCCATCTATACTATCATATCTTCTTTCACTCCATGAGTCAAGATTGTTTCTAGTTGTTATATTGCAGTTGGTATTAAACGATCTTTCTGAGCTTTTCTTTTCTACTTCTGATCTTTTTTGCTTTCTTTAAGCAATTTTTCCAAATCAATCGCTTTTTCTACCAATTCATTGAATGGTATTTTAAACATTTTCTTTACAATGGTTCTTAATTCATCATTGAGAATTCCTTTC